GCATAATGAATTAAAATCAGTGATGAGATTTAATTAAGCCGTGCTCTGCAAGGAGCTGACGATGTCGTAGGTGGTGCCATGCCTGAGTGATAGTGGGACCAGCTATCAGGCCGAGGTGATCAATCGTTACACCTGACACCTGCGGACATCAAACCCGATCAGGAGCAAATCATTAGACCCTCCTTTCCTAGGTGCTGACTGGTGAACCTGTGGTCCTGCTGGCTGATGTGGCTGCAGCCTGTCATAGGCCATTGCTTCTGGCTATGCGTAATCCCCCTATTTGATGAGGTCATCAGAATGTGTGGGGGTGTCAAGGAGGATCTGCTTACTCTCCACTCTGTCCTTCTCCACGATTTCTAGAAACTAAAGCTGGATTGATGTGGCCTTCAGCAATCTGGTGAATATTGCATGGCTGCTGTCACGGTTTAATGATTGTAGTGCTAAAGAATTATGCACTCCCAATTCCCAATTCCCTTGTCATATATTACCTTCAGATTGTCTTTACAAGATTGAAGGATTCCGAGCTGTTCGTAGCTGTTGTTTGTAATGATTTCCGTTTGTTATGGGAATTTGCTTAAAAATGTATGCTGTTATTGACAGTTTCTGACTGTGGGTTGTTTTATCGGCAGCAGACAAGGAATAGTCTCGCAGTAGGTAATTGTATTGGGGAAATGCTTTGAAAAATATCATGTCGAAAACATGATTATTAAATTTTGTTCCGGATTTGATTTCCTTCTGTAGAAAAACTAAAGCTCTAAGATAAGGTCGCTTTCAAGGTAGATCTCGTGACTTAATCAGGTGAAATTATTATGTTCAGCCTGGTATTTTGATTTGATCAGATCGATCATTGATAGCATGTTTGACATGAAGATAAATTGGTATTTTATTCAGAACGAAGGCTTTTGATAGAGGTGTGTACATTCGATGGTAATAAAGCCGATTTAAACACTAGTGTCACAAGGATGATCTGCCTTAGGATATATGACATAGATGAGGTGAATATTGCCCAATTTCCTACGAGGCATTTGACTGGTCGTGATTCTGCCCCAGGCAAGGAGCTGAGGAGACAGTGCATGGCAGCCTCATGATTAATAACCCTGACATCATAAGGTATGACTTGGACAGATGAGGAGTTCACCCTTACTGATATGTTTGTAATGCTGTTGTCCCGATAAACCACTGGAAATGTGAATTTGCACCAATTAAACTGAAGAGTAGTTTATCACTGACATGGTCAGAGGAAGGATGTGGGTGGTTGAATGAAGACTCATTGCAGATAAGCGAGTTTTATATCTTGTCCGAGTGTTTGCTGAGGTGGGGTCACAATGGTGTTGGACACTCTGTTGTTGTGATCGTCCAGGGATTTTCTTTACATCGCTGTGGATTTATCATTTGTATTGGAGTTCATCTGGAGTAAGTATGGATGTGTCTGTTTCGAGATGTGATTGTGATGGTGTTTGAGCAGCTGTGTGCGTGCTCGGAACCAGTTACAATGGAAACTGATTTGTGATACGTAATGGGACACAATCTTCTAATACTCCCAAATCGAAGTCTTGACTGTTTGTATTCACCAACATATAAGGAGAAGAAAGTGGCTGTTTTACAATAAGGTATTATTACTTCTCTGATCTCACAGAAAAGTACCATAATTGATGAGGCTCATCTGTTGGCAGAGTAGTAAAGCACTGACATTATGTAGGACATATTTGATCTTGTAGCCCGCCTCTCAATAGGGCTGTATTGACTAGATTTATTAATGTATTTTTATCTTGTTTGCTGAAACTATATTATTTTTGTTGTATGCTCCAAGCTGACCTATGTCACCGCTTACACAATGTGACCGATGGGATTAAATCAATGTCATGGTCAGTAAATCAAATAGAAGTTCTAACTAAAGCAGGAAGAGAAAACAATCGAATAACTGAAAGTTCATATCTACATATAAATGTTAAAGTTTAATTGTTTTGGGACAGTGCACATTTGCCTTCTCATCCTAAATGTAATAAATACGCTTTACTCCCACCAAATATCCAGCAAATCAAAGTGGACTGAAGACCCTCTTGTTTAAACGAACCTATGACCTGCACCTTTGAGCAAATTTGGGATTTAGGAACGATACAAATATGAATTTTATTTTTTCATTTTTTTCCCCAGATATTTTTATAAATTCTTTTCAGCTTGATAAAATGCCTGGAATTTACCAAATGTGGCTTCTTATTAAGTTTGAAATGAGTAAGTTTGTCCACTTTTAGTTTAAAGTGTTTTTGTTTTTTTCAATGATTCTTGTATGTAATTATTTTTGCCTTGAAAATCTGAAAGGCAAGAAGGCGATTAATTTAGTAACTTGAACTCTGTGTGGACTGTTTATATTAATATAAACTGATGACCTAGTTTCATATTTTTTCTAATGGGTTGGTATGGTTACATTGTATGCTCCATATTGATAGCAGGGTGGCCAAGTGGTTGAAGTGTTTGCTTGTCTTGTTGAACAACCTGTCCTGCTAAGCAGGAATATTTCTAAGAGCAGTTTTAGAGATACACTTCACTGATTTATTATATCATTAAGTGATGTAGTCCTAATTTGTTTCGGCAGGTTCATAACGTAATGCAGATGGTGCAGTTTCAGATGTCATTGTCAGTAATTGGTTAGTCTTCAAATGGGGCCGAAGAAACACAGACACTGTTTGAGTTGTTTTGTAATAATGATAAGGTGAAATTTACTGAAGCACTGTAGATTAAGAGTAATGAAGGCTCCATTATGTTTACAAGCCAGTTAATGATTGTAATTAAATCCTTTTCCACTAATGTTTTCATGTCCACTTTGGAAACTTGCGAGTAAGTGGGTTTATTTTAACACTGTTTTAGCAATATTCCAGGAATATAATATTGGGGGGGCGAAACACAGAAATGGGCTTCACACATTGTACTCATGTGGGGAATGGAACCCGGGTCTTCGGCATGAGAAGAGAAGGTTTTAGCCACAAGGTTGCCCCACCGCCCCTTGAGACTTTGGAGAAATTCAGTTATCTGATGTCTTTGTTAAGAAAACAGTCATTCCCAGTTTTGCTTACAGGCCATTGTGGTATAGCTTCAATATTGCCGAGTGGCTTAAAACAACATTTACTCGCTCATAATGGGATTGTGTCGGTGGGGTAGCCTAGTGGTTGATGCATTAACTCATCACAGCCAATAACCCGGAGTCAATTCCCAATAGGGGTACAGTATGCAAAGCCCATTTCTGGTGTCCCCACCATGATATTGCTAAAATATTGCTAAAGTGACATAAAACCCAGTTCACTCACTTCACAGTCATAACGTGTCTGCAGTAGCTGTGTTGATGGCGCCTTGAAGTTCATGTGTGGTAGCTCCCCGTGAACTGACATTATACAACAACTGTAACCAATATGATTATCCCTTGACATGGCAAGGAGATGTTTTATAGAATATGGAAGAAAGCGGCATAAAACTATATCTAGTCACACCTAATGTGATTAAGCATGCATATATGTTTTACTTGTTGGACATACTTCAAGAGGGTGGGAGATAATTTGATGTAGTTCAGCCAAGGGTCTTGATGTATATTTTACTGATGCAGCTGGTGTTGACAGTCTAGACGTCTTGCATACCCTTCCTCTTCCTTCCCTCCCTAGAGTTGCACACAGAACTCTGTGACCCTCGTTGTTGCTCTGGTTCTTCAGGAAACTAAAATAGAGATCCTCCCTATGTTCTGTGAATGTTTATTTATGACAAAAATTGCCAGAAATAGTCTTGAAACATTCTGAAAGGCATTGCAGAACCAGATGGTTCTATCTGTTGTGTTGTCGCTAGACAGGTGATGTTCCGCGTTCATCATCGCGGTAGACGTGAATATTTTGGGTCTTTCCTCCCTCATTAGCAGACGAACCCTGATATATGTCTCAAATACTGTTCATTAAAAGCGACTAAATTGATTCCATTATTACAAGAAACTGCTGCTTAGAAAAGAGTCGATTGTATGATTCTCTCGAATATCATGGCTTCTTGTCAATGTCAAATATTGATCATACCAGGTGTTCACAAAAAGGTGTGTTCACATATAATGCAAACACAGGTTTGTTGTTCACCTGAAAAAAATATACTAATATTTAGTAAGAATCAAAGTCTGGTACTGCATAGGATATTATTTTTGTTACTAATGCATCAAATTTGGAAATGTCTTTGACGAAACGTTTCTACAGCTTTACTGTGACCTGGAATGTTGTAACGTTAATCAAACTACTTTTGGACATGAATTATGAGATGCTGTCTGAAATCTTCATAACAAGAGCCCACTTTATTGCACCTCAAAAGTTTAATCATGTTGACGCCAAAGGCAGGAGCCGTTCAATTATTGCATGATATAAAGGAATGTTGAAAAGTTTGAAATTTGAAGTCATCCATCTTGTCATACAGTCTTGTGGACAGGTTTTGTTTGTTTTTGTCACTGAATATTTATGCATACATCATAATACAGCGTAAGGAACAAATGACTTACAGACATTTTATACAAATACATTTGTTTCTGAGAACTTCTGACATAAAATCTGGTGAAATTATTATCACCAAGTGCATGCGTTTGTCATTACAGGGTTGACATTAGACTAACAACTAGTCTGAAATGAACATATTTTACGGAAAATACATTTCTTAGTTAGAAAAAAAAAGGTCAAATATAATGAAAAGGAGCCCTGAGACCTTCGCCATTTTCAACTGTGGAAATCTTGCCAATCGACTGGTCACATATTCTAGACTTGCATTGGCTTTCTTGGATATATTTGTTTCAGGGTCTGTATGACAGACTAGGTTGACCTAAAATACTGATGTGTTGTCTAGCAACCTGAATATTAAGCTATTGTTTTTATTACAGTCACATCTATGTAAGAATACATGGATGCAGAGCTGAATGTTTATTGTGGTGGACAGCATGAATATGCCGATGAGAAACTATGACTCGGTGTCTAATGTGTGTCATTTTGTTGCAGGTCTTGTAAGGCAGAGTGGTGAGGCAGAATGGCGGCGCCAGCTGATACTGTAGATGGCCGCCCGGCCGAGTATGGCCTGTCCCTAAAAGAACTCCGCGAGTTGATGGAACACCGCGGATCGGAGGGATACGAGCTCATGGTCACAAAGTACAATGGAGTTACAGAAATGTGTAGAAAGCTCTATACGTCTCCAAATGAAGGTGAGCACAATCAGATTTTTGTAGCTTTTTGCATGAGCATTTTCGGAGGGGTTGCTGTGGTTACTGGAAACATAGGTCACTGAAAACAACATTCACTCACTCCATTGATCAGGGTCCTTCATGTGATTAGATTACCTTGAAAGTTGATGGTCATTGGACTTATGTGAAAGCCTCTGTGGGTTCTCCTATTTTCATGGTTTGTTCCAGAGGGCATAACATTCACAGAGCCCTCTAGGCTGTATGATTTGGGTTGTGATTCACTTGTGAAAAAAATTTTATTCGGTAATGGCGGCATACGAACATACCCCAACAGCATGAAATGTTGCTATACTATCAATCACTGGATTATCTTGTCCAGATTCAATGCAAACTTTCTTCGTTGTTGGCAGCATTGCAACATACCCAACGATATGAAATGTTGCTTATACTATCAATCACAGGATTATCTGGTCCAAATTCAAATATTTTTAAGCTGTTGTCATATACATAGAGATTTTTTCTGGGTTACATCTTCTTTTTATTCTCTATGTTCATCAAATATCATCTTCTAAAATGCCAATCAAGCATCTGTTGTCATATAGTTTTAATTTTGATGAGGGAGTGGTAGGGTAGCCTAGTGGTTAAAGCGTTCGCTCGTCACACCGGAAACACGGGTTCGATTCCCAACATGGGTATAATGTGTGAAGCCCATTTCTGGTGTCTCCCGCCATGATATTGCTGGAATATTGCTAAAAGTGGTGTAAAACAAAACTCACTCACTTCCCTAATTTTGCTGAAAACATCTGCACAAGACTTAAACAAGACAGACGCAAACCAAAACATAGACTATCATTACTCCAATACTTTAACATAGACTTCATGTCCAGTCATGATTCTAAGATGGATCTTTGGAACAAGGTATCAATGCTCTCAGAAAAATTGTCTCACTCTGTCTCAGTCAGGGGCAGCGGGGTAGGCTGGTGGTTAAAGTGTTCGCACGTCACGCTGGAGACACGGATTCGATTCCCCACATGGATACAATGTGTGAAGCCTATTTCAGATGTCCCCTGCTGTGATATTTCGGAATATTGCCAACAGCGGCGTAACACCATACTCACTCACTCACTCACTCACAATTGTATCACTCTGTCTTTGGCAGTTGCGAACTTTGGTAGTGGAACATGTGTCATAGAATAAGGGAAATATCTTACTGATAAACACATCCTTTTTTTAAGCTTGGTCATGGTGGGGGTTGAGGAGGGGCTCTTATCTAATTCCTAATTCCTATTGTAGAGTGTCAGCACCATGTCTATGATCATGGGTGTTATCACACTTCTACCCATCTAAGGAATACAATGTTTTGAGCTTTCTTCCCACATGATGCTGTTATTCTGTGATATAGCATATGGTATATTTTGGATCACACTTCCTCAGTAAAGTGCAGATTCAAGTACTTTTTGAGTTGAGTTCCATCTGGAATTCAAACTCACACCCACAGAGTCATCACCAGCACACAGTGTCAGCAATCTAACCCATTCAGCCACCGCGGCTTAAAAAAAATGGCAAATTTTACTTGTCAGAAGGGGAAAGGGAAGTATGTGATCTAGTCATCTAGATTTTGGACAATATTCTCAGGAATGTTGTAATAAGAAGTACATCTTTCTGTCTTTAATCATATTTTATCCAGTTTGATGAAATGAAATCTGTTTGTTGAAAATTTGGATAACAGGGTTTGTTTTGTCAACCTATCTTGTTAAATGTTTTCAGGAAACGCCCTTTTGACTTTTAGCAAAATGTCTGAATAAATTACACCACCATGGCAAACATCAACCGGAGTGAAATATGGTTTAGGGGAGTCTCAAGTTTTATGTGAAAGGTATCAATCAGAGATGTTCATAAGGAAAAAGAAATTTTCTATTTGATTAGAAAATATTAAGGCAGTCTCAAGTTTGGTGTGAAAAGTATCAGGGAGCTGCTTGAATCAGAATGTATCTATTGATGTCAGTTTAATCCTGAATGTGCGAGCACAATCCAAGGAGTGTTTGGTGGGTGTAGGTTTCCTCGTACGGAATGTGAAAGCATTTCCCAATCGATAGCGAATGTCTCCGTCACAGATTGTCACCTGAAATATCCACACTCCCAGGACCAGCTTACACACAGCGATTGCCACCAGTCGTGAAGAATGTATATTTATCTTCATCTGCTGTCTGCTGGAAATAGCACTCCTTTGTCACATGGCCTGTTGTATGGCCATTAAAAGAGTTGTAGGTCTATTGTGACAGTGATGGGCCGCGAGATCCGTACTTAGCATGGTCTGCTGGGAGGGAGGCTCTCACCTGGCACTAAACAAACTAAGCAAGCTCTTCTCATCTACCAGATCAATACGCCCGATGCACTTTTTGTCATTATCAGGCAGTCTTTATTCCTCTTGAAGTTCCGAGCATAGCTGATCAGTAGAATCGGTGTGCATTCAGGTTCAGAAGCTGACCTGGCCGCCAAGCGCATGGGCTGACTTTCTGTCTTCTGGTCTGCCGATCGATATCCAACTACAACTGTTTCTTGTTGATGCCCAGTGACCTCTGCCATTTCAGAGAATTGAGTTGAAGGTCTGGATAATCCATTTGAAGCCAAAGATCAGAGTTTGGGATCTATCTTAACATGGCCTGTTCTGTAGTGAGATGAACGATCACTGTGGATTATTTGTGTGCGTGTCGACACATTCAAATAAACTGTAATGAAGGTTACCCTTCCATTTACACCGTTTTTGATGTCTAATTTTGTCTTCAAAGTAAAGGAAGGTGGATGTAATGATGACACGGTTTTCTTGTTTTTGGCTCGTTAAAACAATCTCTGGATTCGGAAAAGAGATAAAAATTATATGCTTGCAGATATCAAAATGATAGGAATATATTTGATAATGGATTTAAGGATACATCTTGTTTTCTGGGATAGATTTAGATTAGATTGGGTTCATATCACAGGGATCATTCTGTTTGAAATAGACTGATCTAAGACTGTCACTGTGATTGATGGATAGGACATTTTGAAAGAAATATACTGAGTGAAACAAATAAAGGAACACAGGAAAATTCAAACGTTCCTTTGATATTTTCCAGTTTTCATCACCAGCTGTAAATAACACTATGGGAGGAAATCAGAGAATAGATAAAGAAACACTGCCATGAAGTGGTGTTACCTTATTTGTTTCCCTCAGCATGTCAGGCAGGCAAGCTAAACACCTATCCAACCTTAATTAATAGTTTTTGTTGTTCACATCAAAGTAGGGGTTAAAAGGTGGGGTAGCCTAGTCTAGTTAAAGCGCTGGCTCGTCAGCCCGAAGACCGGGTTCGAATCCCCACATGGGCACAATGTGTGAAGCCCATTTCTGGTGTCCCCGCCCGTGATGTTGCTGGAATATTGCTAAAAGCGGTGTAAAACTAAACTCAGTCAGTCAGTCAATCACATCAAAGTAAGTTAGGTAAAGTGCTTCAAACAGTGTTTAAGTCATGTTTCTGCATGTGAGATTTTTGTGTTTGTTTAAATGCAGCATTCAGCAATATTCCAGCTATATGGCAGCAGTCTGTAATTAATCAGATTTGGACCGGACAATTCAGTGATTAACATCATGAGCATCGATTAATGGGGATGAAAACTCAAAGTGAACGAACCCCAGAGTGTACTATTTTATTGCAGCATCCAAAATAGCTGCTTGCCTGCAGGCTCGTGGCTGATAGCATTTCTGTTAGGATAGGTCACATTGATTCCTACCCATCCAACTGCCCGATAGGAAATGTGATGAATACACAGACAACCTTGAATCAGACATTGATATTGTATGTGAGAGAAAGAGATGCCATAGACTAACAACTAGTCTGTGAAATGAACATATTTTACTGAAAAAAAGTTCATATTAAAAAAAATATATATATAATGAAAAGGAGCCCTGAGACTTTCTTCATTTTCTGAAGCTCAGGAAATCTAGACTTGCCACATTTTCTAGACTTGGGCTTTCTTGGATATATTTACTTCAGGGTCTGTACGACAGACTAGAGATGCCATTGTGGTAATGGAGCTGTGGATGTTCAGGGCACAGACAAAAGTGACAAGGATGATCTATTCCAACATGTATATTTATGCATGAAAGCTTAAAAGCAGCACTTTCCAGTGGGCTAGTTACACATACAGGGCGGTGGGGTAGCCTAGTGGTTAAGGCGTTGGCTTGTCATGCTGAAGACCCGGGTTCGATTCCCCACATGACTACAATGTGTGAAGCCCATTTCTGGTGTCCCCCAACGCGATATTGCTGGAATATTGCTAAAAGCAGCATAAAACCAAACTCTCTCTAGTTACACATATTGCTTCACTGTGGTGGGGACAAACCATGTAACCTTTCACAGTCAGGGCAGATTCAAACCCATGATGCTACAGATCCTGCCACAGTTAAGGGAAGCAACTATGTAATGTAATTTTTGCTGCTTACACCACTGGGCCCTCCTGATAGCATAATACTGGACCCGAACTTTGTTCAGTTTATGTTTCAATAGGTTTCCAATAGCAACTAAGATACGTCTTGTCTACATGTCTATGTATATATATGAACCTGTCATTCATGAAGCCATTGTTTTGGCAGGGCACACATCAGTCCATTAATGTTCCTCCATTTCTCAAGCTCTTTACTGGCTTCCCATATATTTTACCACATGATTATTTTGATGGTGAAAAAGTTATCTCATTTGATCACCAGCAGTTTAACACGTACTGTTACTTGAAGGTTATTTATTACATACTGCTTAAACTAAGGACAGTGAGGAGCCTCTGTTGGGTCCGTTACCTGTCTATGGAAGGTAACCCAGCACTACCGCCCTTTTAATCAACACCAGGTGAGGTTGGCAGTGTAGTAGCAAGGGGCTGTTATGAAACTGATAACAGCACAGCATTCTGAGATAGTTACAAAATGTATCTACTAAGTTCACACAAGCTGAAATGGCTTTGGATTGGGTAGCTCAGTCTTGAAATTACCTTGAGGTGGAATATGTCTTGAATGTCCATCAATCTGGCAATATAAGTCTGTTATTTGATTTATTTTTAATGTGAAGATGGCTTATAAGTTTTAAAAGTGTAACTTGTTTGATATTCTGACAGTGAAAGTCTTAAAAAATTTGTGAGCCCTAAAAAAGGCCTTAAATGGCCTCACTTTTTGTGGTGCAAACTTGTATGAACCAGTTCTGTTGCTGGAGATGAATAGAAAAAGGATATTTGTCTGTGAGACATTTTCACATTGTAGCCCAAAAGCATGGTATGTATGTCATGATATTAATCACTAGGTTATCAGGTCCAGATTCCATGTCATGTGACCCAGTCTAATAGTACGTTGTGAGTGAGTGAGTGGGGGACACCAGAAAAGGACTTCACATATTGTACCTATTTGGGAAAACGAACCCAGGTCTTTGGCGGTACCAGCGAACGCCTTAGCCACGAGGCTACATCACCGCCCTAATAGTACGTAGATGGAAGTACACTTAGTTTGATTTGTTCCACAATCTTGTTCCTTTTCCAGATACGATGAAACTCTTTTGTCCATGTCCTAACATCTCCCTTGTTTTTTTATTACAGGATTGTCTGGAAATCCCATAGACTTAGAACATAGAAGAAAAATATTTGGATCCAATATTATACCTCCCAAGGCTCCTAAGTCTTTCCTTCGTCTGGTGTGGGAAGCTCTACAGGACGTCACCCTCATCATCTTGATTGTAGCTGCAATAATTTCATTAGGATTATCTTTTTATAAGCCACCAAAAGATCCAGCTTTGCGTAAGTACCCTTATATCTGTGTCTCCACAATTTAACTGTGTATGAAACAAAGCAACAAGCTCATTACTCACCATCACTGGTACTAATCTGCTCAGTATCTGATGTTCAAAAATTGCAGAAAATGTGAGTAAAAATTTTTTAAAAGGAATTAAGATTTTCTGAGTGTTTGTTAATGTTATGGTTTTGTAAAGGTAACTTGTATTACACAGATGACATGGCCAATAAACAGTAAGAAACTGAAAATAACACAGAATTTTGGAAAATAACATCCCATCCCATTATTAGCAAAATGATTTTCCTCCCCAATTTGCCTACCAAGGGCTTTTTATTCAGAAACAGTTCTAAATCCTTGGTAAGGGAACCATTCAACAGTGAATTTGTGTAGATTTCACTTGAAAATTAATATTGTGTTGTTGTTTGTTTCATGCAGAGTTGATTGTAATTTGTCTTGTGTTCTGTATCCGTTCCTTGGCTATGCAAGTGTTTACACAAGTCCAGTCCAATACGACTGTGTCAAACAACCTTGGAACTTTCAAATCGTGTCCTAGAGCACGCCATTTTCCCAAGTTTATGATGACATATGGACCATATAAAATCAATGAAAACGTATTTGTCTTTCAGCTGACACGACATTACAGGAGAACCTGAAACTTTAAGACTGCAGTTTCTTGTCCTTTTCCTTAAACTCTGTCTGATCTTATTGCTGGCATCTTCTTGTAACGAACAGTAAAGTCAAGTCGTAGTCAATCCAGACATAAAATGGAGACATGTTACCCTTAAATTATTTAGCTTACTTGCTCTGGCTATATTGCCAAGGATATTTCGAACTTGAAACAGATGATTGCTATGGAAAGAACCACAGAGTTCCTTCTTACTGATGCATAGCAATTACCGTTTTCGAAAAAGTATAATTTTTATGAAGCTACATACCATTTGATGATTAGAATCACATTAATCTGGGACTTCTCGATCAAAGAAGATCAGACACAATTAGGGCATGATCAGATGCAATGAGTTGCTTGATCAAAGACTAAATATGTAACTTTGTGATCCGGGGTTAATTGATGTATGTGCAGTATGTGCTGGGGGAAAAGAGAAATATTACCCATGGTCTGGATGGGCATTTATTTCGCATTGATTCTTTTTGTGGAAATGTATCTCTCTAAGGGACCTTACCAATTTGGATGGGAGTACAATAGCTCCCTGATACCTCATACTTGTCATAAGTGCTGATTAATCTGGAGGCCCTGTGGGGAGTCTGGATTAGAATCACTCCCCTGGTGTCCCTGCTGGTTGTAGTGGCTACCACATGGCAAGGTTGGTCAACACTGACAACGTGGTCAGGCAAGCCGGACTGCTTGGTCTACCAAGCCTGACAACTTGGATGGTCAAACCTGACAATTTGGATGGTCAAACCTGACAACTTGGTTGGCTAGCTGGGCAACTTTGTTGGTCAACCCTGACAATTTGGATAGTCAAGCCTGACAGCTTGTTTGGTCAAGCCTGACAACTTGGTTGGCTAAGCCGGGCAACTTGGTTGGTCAAGCCTGACAACTTGGTCTGTCAAGCCTGGCTACTTTGTAGGTCAACCCTGACAATTTGGATAGTCAAGCCTGACAACTTGTTTGGTCAAGCCTGACAACTTGGTTGGCTAAGCCGGGCAACTTGTTTGGTCAAGCCTGACAACTTGGTTCGTCAAGCCTCAAGCCTGGCTACTTGGTTGGTTGCGTGTCTTTGTTTCCCTTATGTCAGGAATTGTGAATATCAGTCATGATATTGTCTAGTCCAGATTCGATTATTTCCACACAACTGTCATTTCTGCAGAGTGCAGCATGAAATAAGAAACAAACATAGAACACTGGTTCGATTCCCCAAATGGCTGCAATATGTGTGATGCCCATTTACAGTGTCCTCAGCCTTGATACTCCTCAGATAGGTGTAAAACTCAGATAACACTGTCATACACACAAGGATACTATTAACACTGTCATGTACACAAGGATACTATCTGTGGAGCCTTGTGTCAGTGGCAGCATGCTGCTGATGTATGCTAAGCGTATGAGGAAATGTTCCTGTGTGATTCAGGAGATGATTTGCTATGCACATACGTTGACATTTGGAGAGTTGAGTCGCAGTGGTAACAGATCGATGGTCACAGGCATCTTGGACAGAACTGGATGTAGTATCCCCATACACACGCTGTAGCCTTTGATCCCCGTTCTGCTCTCTACACTCACTGCTTTGTGCCTGCACGTGGGCTTAGTCTCTGAAAGCCGCAACATTTAGGCTGGATGTTGTCGTGGGAGACCAGACGCTGAAATATGGATTCCATATTGAAAATCACTAACATGGTGTAACCCTGCCAAAAGTGACTGACGATTGCAGGATGGGCTTCCCCAAATAGAGCTGTTCTGCTATGCATGAAGGAAAAGGTTTACTGCCAGAGAAGCTCGGTAATGGGCCGAGCTCTTCTGTTGCAATCAGCTCTCTTTAAGCATAAATGTAGTCAGGATGTTAAGTAGGTATTGTAGCCAGTGTTTAAAAATAAAAGGTTTCCAGGGCTTCAATTTATGTATTGCCTTCCAATGTAGGTGCCCTCAACACCTGTTATACAAACAAAATTGCAGTTGACATTTTATGAGCAGTCTGTATGTTCTGCAAATCAGGTTTGAAATGTTTCTCAGTGTGGGCGACATGTTTGTAAATTATTAAACGTCATTAAGGATAAATCCATTTGGCAACACTTGCTGTGGTGTGTACTGATTGAAAAAAGTTCATAAAAATACTTTGTGGCGGTATGATTATATTTCATGACAAGAGCATCAACTCTGGTCAGCTTTAATCCAGGGATATTCGCGGAGTAATGTGACAAAATGTGGAACTCTGCAGTCTTCAGGTATTGATTTGCCTAGCATACATGACAGGCCCAAATGCACACGCAAGGTAATCAGCTTCTGTAAGGAGTTTCAAGCATCTAGGTGATGGAAGGATGACCAGATGCAGTGCAAGTTGTGTAAGAGGATTTGTACGCCTCCTCCGCGCCATTGCACGATGTGCACCACTGCATCCTGGGTTGTGATTATACTGCATTGTAGCCACTCCTGTTTCTTGTATCAGTACTAACAACTCCATCGCTGAACATATCTCTGCACCAAATGCCTTTGTTCCATTGATAAGGCCATGCACCAACAGCTTAATGACCTCACGAACATGTGTCTTCAGCACGTTATGGAGGACGAGTACAATAGCTAGGAACCTGGTACTGATGCCGAGCCCAGAGGGATCCTGAGTTACGCGAGGCTTCAGCAACATGTGCTGGTCAGAGGGTAGTCACTCAGTCCCTCGACAACTTAATTAAGTCTAGATTGATTTCATAAGGCTAGCTTTCTTCAGCTCTTGTGCCAATATAGAGCATTGCTTTGGGCTCCATTTACGGTATATATAATATTGTTGTCCTATGTATTTATTATCAGGAAAACTATGATAAGCTACATTTGAAACAAAACGCTTATAACAAACTAAAATTTGTGATCCGTTTGAGTTTATACTATAGCTTACTGTATACTTCGGGGAACTAAATATTTGTGTTGTTGTAAGGGTGACCTTGTGGATTGTGTGGTCAGGTGACCTTGTGGATTGGGTGATCAGGTGATTTTGTGGATTGGGTGGTCAGGTGACCTTGTGGATTGGGTGATCAGGTAACTAATTGGATTGCGACCATCGTACTATTAGGGACATTGGTCATTTTCTCAATATCTGGTGTGTCTCCGCTCCTTCAAATCAATGAAAAGCTAAGGTATTCACTTATAAGTTTTCTGGCTGTGAATACACTAGACAATGAGTGAGTGAGTGAGTTTAGTTTTACGCCGCACTCAGCAATATCCCAGCTATATGGCGGTACACTAGACAATGACAAGGAATGACAAGGATCTGAATAATTCACTAAACATAAGAATAGAAGGAAGATGGTGGACCAGCTTCCGTGAATCTTTCATGATGAGTCACCCAGGGTATCAGTCTAGTTTATTTCCAGGACGTTTACTTAATTTCTTCCTAGATGTTCAAAAGATATTTTTTGTACATGTTCTTGAACATTTTCCCATTAAAAAGCTGACTAAATCATGAAAACATCCTTACCAAAATCTCTGGTTACTTCAGGGCATGCCATCGATACTGTAGGGTATCAAATTTTCCTGACAGAATCTGTAAAAACAGCAACTGGGACTGTTACGACCTCAGTAGGCTTCGGAAACAGAACCAGTCTCTGGATAGGAGTTCAATGGTCTATGTGTATCTTTGGGCTTATACAGACGAAATCTTTACCATCTTAATGAGTTCCTGTGATTCATTGCTGGAAGTACCAACTTCAGTAGAGATGGCGTCAGTGATGACACACCGTATGGTGTGTTACAGCACTGTATCTGTTAATGGTTCTCAGCCTTTGCTTCCAAGACTCAGCTATTCCTGAATGCAAGATTTCGGATTAACTGGTTTGGTTTTTCGTCTTTCGTAAGGGTTAACTAAAACTGAGTCCTACTGCTCCAATCAGAACAGGATGAGGATGTTGTGCTAACCCCATTGCTGTGTAATAAGCCCGTGGGCATTTAAGTTTCTGTTCATCGATTTCCTTTCATGAAAACACATCCATCTTTCTCTGGTCCCCTGGGAACATAATTCAAAGATGTCATCAATGAATACAATTTTTCTCAAAGTGGCATTTGTGTTTTTTCTATGAAGATAATTTTGTCTATTTTTCCATCGATATTTGCAGAAAAAGTAAGCAATAACATTTGGTCCTATGGTTTCTTCGATGCTCAGAAAGTTTGTGTTCCTTTACTGTGGAGATATCCGATATTTTCGGCTGCCAAAACAGTAAAATCAATGAAGGTATTACATAAGATAAGAAACATGATAGTAGTGAGTTTATTTGGTCCCAGATATGTCCTACACAAGATGCGAGAAATATTTGTCTGTGTCTGAAAATTTTGTATTTCTGAGTA